GGTTATGGCACCGCACATAATCTTGACCAACGTATTCGTGTTGGCCTGGAACCAAGCCGTGGGGTTCGGCCGCGGGATTTTGTTGTACGCGCTTGATAGATGGAGTATGTGCTGGGCTTGCGCCAAGCAGGGAAGCTCTTACACTGTTACCTTACCCTTAACAATTTAACATGCCCTGCAAGGGCCGAACTGCTCTAGGTTGCTGTGGTGTCCATGGGGCACCCCTGCATGCAGCCGGTCTGAGATGCATCAGCATTTGCAACGCCGTTGTATAGCAACCCTGCAATACATCTTGTGCTGAATGGGTGCAATAACGCTTTTTGTTTTCAAACGCTTAGGTTGGCTACGACGACATTGGCGGTGTCCGAAAGCAGCTTGCGCAGATTCGCGAACTCGTGGAGTTGCCTCTGCGCCATCCGCAGCTCTTCAAGACGATTGGTGTCAAGCCGCCCAAGGGTATTTTGCTGTACGGTAAGCGCTGCATCGCAACCTGCACGACCTGTCAGACGTGTATCGTCCAGCTGTGGGTGCTGATTGGCTTTGTAACTTCATCCACACAATCCGTGCGAGTGTAGAACATGGTACTGCATTTTGCAGTTCAAGATCGTCTATGGTTTGTGTTACCATGGTTATGTTGTGCACCCTTGAGCTTTGACCTAATGACATACCGTTTGTGCTCTCCCTTTGCTCTGCGCAGGGCCCCCTGGCAGTGGCAAGACGCTGATTGCTCGTGCAGTTGCAAACGAGACGGGTGCATTCTTCGTTGTGGTTAATGGACCGGAGATTATGTCCAAGCTGGCTGGCGAGTCTGAGAGCAACTTGCGCAAGGTGCGGGGATTTACCTGATCACCTATTAAAAGGGTTGCACAAGACGAACTTGACGGGTGATGCGGCTGGTTGTCGTGCTGCCCGCACTTGTGATCCTACCTTATCCTGCATGGCATGCTAAAGGAACTAAGCGTTCGACAACTTGGCATTCCAAATAAATTCAAGTGGTTACGACACGCCTTAACGGAAGCAGAGCTGTGTTGTTTTAAGGGGGCAATTTTCAATTGCGTGTTGGGGATCTGCGACCCTCACAGCCCCTCTGCTTGTACTATTCGTCTGGTAGGTGTTCCAAGAGGCCGAGAAGAACGCGCCTTCCATCATCTTCATTGATGAGGTGGACTCGATTGCGCCCAAGCGTGACAAGACGCAGGGCGAGGTGGAGCGCCGTATCGTCTCGCAGCTGCTGACGCTCATGGACGGCCTGAAGAGCCGCGCGCACGTGATTGTCATCGCAGCCACTAACAGGCCCAACTCCATCGACGCTGCCCTGCGCCGCTTCGGTCGTTTTGACCGCGAGATCGACATCGGTGTGCCCGACGAGACTGGCCGTCTGGAGGTCCTGCGGTAAGTGTGGTGTCCTGTTATAATCGTTCTGCAAGGTGGCTGCGGTGCACGGACTGGCGCTCTTTGGCAAGTGAAAACCCTGACCTTCTTGGGGCGGCTGCGGTGCCATATGGCTATACACAGTACTGTCATTGTTACAATTGGTTGGAATAACGTAGACACTGGAAATGAGAACGTGTGCCTGGCGCTCGCTATTCTGTCCACCTTCGCAGCATCCACACAAAGAACATGAAGCTGGACGAAGACGTGAATCTGGAAGCCATTGCGCGCGACACTCACGGCTACGTGGGTGCTGATCTTGCGGCGCTGTGTACGGAAGCGGCGCTGCAGTGTATCCGCGAGAAGATGGACGTGATTGACCTGGAGGACGAGCAGATCGACGCCGAGGTGCTCAACTCCATGGCGGTTACGCAGGTGAGGTAGACTGTTGGAACTTCCTTCACCTTGCCACGAAGTAGGTACCACCACTTATTGGCTGATAAAGTTGCTAGATTTTGTTTTCCTCAGATCCCTATTGAGGTTTGCACGGTTTGAGCTTAGGCGGTTGCATGGTTGTTACTTAAACGTCTTGCGTTTTCCTACAGGACCACTTCAAGACAGCGCTAGGCATGAGCAATCCGTCGGCTCTGCGCGAGACGGTTGTGGAGGTACCCAACGTATCATGGGATGCTATTGGTGGCCTGGAGAACGTTAAGCGGGAACTTCAGGTGGGCGCTTTGGCTCCAGCCACTTCGTTCCGGTAGTGGGACGCGCGGTGTTAGCAGGATGGCGAACATCGGACTCTGCCCGTCCAGTAATGTTTGGAGGAGGGCACCTTGCGCTCAGGGCAGATTATGCCTCGGCCAATCTGGCGCGGATACGCTGGTCACTAGCGGCCCCTTTACACGGATCCTGCCTGCTTCATGTCACTCTTGATACGTCACTGGAATCTGCAGGAGCTGATTCAATATCCAGTGGAGCACCCAGAGAAGTTTGAAAAGTTTGGCATGTCGCCTTCCAAGGGTGTGCTCTTCTATGGGCCTCCAGGTTGCGGCAAGACCCTCCTCGCTAAGGTGCGGAAACTGTATATACGCAAGCTTATGAGCTCTTCCAACAATTCAAGCTTTCTGTTTGTGCGGTGGGTTCAATTATGGAACCTCTCGTTTGGTCTTATCCCGTGTACCTGTTTGTACTGGCGTTTATATTGTCTACAGGCGATTGCAAACGAGTGCCAGGCCAACTTCATCTCGGTCAAGGGCCCTGAGCTGCTTACTATGTGGTTCGGCGAGTCGGAAGCCAACGTGCGTGAAATTTTCGACAAAGCCCGCGGCTCTGCCCCCTGCGTGCTGTTCTTCGATGAGCTCGACTCGATCGCGGTGCAGCGTGGGTCCAGCGCGGGTGATGCTGGCGGAGCTGCGGACCGCGTGCTGAACCAACTGCTGACGGAGATGGATGGCATGAATTCCAAGAAGACGGTGTTCATTATCGGCGCCACAAACAGGTTTGCTGGGCAGGCCCGTGCACAAAGCGAGGATATGCTTGTCAGATAGACCATGACAGGTTTTGCAGATGGGTGCCCCCAGGGCGTCCAGGAACATGTCGCATGATCAGCAAGATTCGCCGGCATCCGGCTCAAAATGTGCCGAAGCGGGCACTGATGTTTGACTTCAATGGCTGCCATCAAAGTCCAAGGGTTGCTGTCTGAACTCCTTGCTTACGTCTCGACAACTCGTCTTCCACAATGTCCCGCAGGCCCGACATTATTGACCCCGCGCTGCTCCGGCCTGGTCGTCTGGACCAGCTCATCTACATTCCGCTGCCAGACGAGAAGTCTCGGTTGCAGATCTTCAAGGCTTGCCTGCGGAAGTCGCCCATCGCCCCTGACGTGGACTTCGACACGCTTGTAAAGTTCACGCACGGCTTCTCCGGCGCCGATATTACGGAGATTTGCCAGCGTGCCTGCAAGTCGGCCATCCGTGAGGACATTGAGAAGGTGGGCGCGTGAGCCAGTAGCGCGGCAGTCAAGTAGTTTGTAAAAGAGAAGGTTGAGCAATTTATAGAGACGCTTCTAACGAACGGGAGTTTTTGGTTGACTGTGAAGCTCGGACTTCTCTTGAGACTCTACCCCAAGGTCATTCTTTAATTACGTTACCAACATCTTCGCATTGCAGAACATCGAGCGTGAGAGGCGACGAGCAGAGAACCCGGATGCTATGATGGAGGACGAGCCGGACCCAGTGCCATGCATCACGAAAGCGCACTTTGAGGAGGCTATGAAGTATGCGCGTCGATCCGTTTCCGATGCTGACATTCGCAAGTACCAGGCTTTCGCTCAGACGCTCCAACAGAGCC